CTCGCGGTCGAGCATCGAGAGGTCGGTGTCGTTGTGGTCGCCGAACGGCTGGCCCCGGTCGGAGTAGGGCTTCCACACGTTGGCGCCGGCGAAGCCGAGCACCGTCGCGCCGGTCACCAGGCCGACGCTCGCCACGGTGATGAGGGCCCCGGGGCGGCGCGGCAGCGGTGACCGCAGCAGGCACAGGGCCATGAGGACGGTGGCGGGGGCGGCGACCGCACCGAAGTGGTTGACCCACTTGGTCGGGCCGAACGCGAGCAGGCCGAGCGCCACCGCGGTCGTCACGGCGGTGCTGAGCACATCCTGCTGGAGCCGGCCCCCGACCGCGGCGCGGCGCCCGCTGCCGATCGCGACCACGACGAGCAGCACGACGGTCAGCAGCACCGGCAGGCGCCTGCCCCACGAACCGGTCTCGATCATCGTCCGGTAGTGGGCCCACTCCTCGTACCAGGGGAAGGTGAGGTAGTACCAGCTGTGGACATCGGTGGTCTCGAGGACGTCGCCGAGGGTGGCGTCGCCGAAGCCGATCGGGATCGCGATCGTGCCCGCGGCGATCACGGCGCCGGCCACGCCCAGGCGCGACCGCCAGCCGTGGGCGACCAGCCAGCGCCACAGCCAGGGCAGGGCCACGACGACCGGAGCGGCGGCGACGAGCCCCGACGGCGAGGTCGAGACCGCGACCGCGGCCAGCGCGGTGGCCGGCACCAGCGGGCCGACGACCTCGTGGCGACGGGCGAGCTCGGCCAGCAGCATCACCCCGGCCGCGAGCGGCACGATGAACACCTCGGGGCGCAGGGCCAGCCCGTAGGGCAGCCACCACGCGAGGTACGCGACCAGCAGCGACCACGCCACCCACGTCGACCGGGCGATCCGGCCCAGCGAGGTCGCGAGCAGGCAGCGCAGCAGCCACCAGGTGAGCAGGCCCAGCAGCAACGGCAGCAGCCGCATCCACAGCAGGCCCCAGCCGACCATGCCGATCGCGTTGCCCAGGTGGCCCCACAGAGCCATCACGTACTGGCTCAGCACGAACGGGTTCTCCGTGCTGTTGAACATGTAGATCTGGTTGCCGATGTAGCCCGTCGGCGTTGCGTTGCGGGCCATCAGCAGGTACCACGAGTCGTCGTTCTGCAGCGGCCCGATCACCACCCACAGCGCCGACACCGCCACGACGACGAGGTCGGCGGGGTGGCGCCGCGGTCGCACCAGCCCCGAGCCCGTCCCGGTGCGGGCGCGCCAGCGCCGGTAGGCCAGCGCGACCGTCGCGACCAGGGCCACGAGGTGCACGACGAGCAGGACCAGCTTGAGCGTCGACGGCGTCGAGGCGTACCGGTCGTCGGGGCGGACCGTGGCGCGCAGCCCGGGGACGCCGGGCGCGTCGGTGCCGAGCTGCGCGACCTGCGGCACGAACATCCCGGGCCGCTCGAAGAGCACGACGCCGTCACGCTCGATGCGGGTGGCGTCGCCGTCGGCGGTCACGCGGTAGAGGCACGGCTGCAGCGGCAGGATCTCCTCGACGAGCGTCTCGCCCGAGCTCGCCACGGTCACCCGCCCGCCCGACGCGGCCACGGTGAGGCCCCGTCCCGGCGACCCGGCCGACTCGGGCTCGGTCCGCAGCCCGGCCCCGCCCCCGCGCAGCGCGTCGCACGGCACGTCGGCCTGGATCGAGAGCGGGCGGTAGGGCGCCAGCGGCAACGACGTCGGCGTCGCGGGCTGCCCGGCCTTGGGCCAGGTGACGACGGGGTCGGACGCGTCGACCGGCGCCAGCGGGATCGCGAGCCCCAGCAGGACCGTCACCGCGGCGAGGCCGGCCAGGAACCAGCCCGAGGCCACCGGCGACCGCCGTCGGGGCGGCGCGCCCGCCGGCTCGGGCGAACGGTCGCCGGTGGAGCTGGTGTCGCCCTCCGACGACGCGACCACGGCCATGGCCGCAGACGGTATCGACGCCGGTGGGGGGCCGGTGTGTGCGGGGTTCTCGGTGCCGGTCGGGGCCGTCGACCCCGGGGCTCGTACCCTCGGGGTCATGACCGTGACCGGCCCGGACACCGACGGCGTGACG